ATCACGATTTTCCTGGTGATCATTGGTGACGCTAGTTGGCGCAGTCATTTAGTTGCGCAAACGGATTATCACTAACACCGTCAAATATTAAATAATTTTCAATAGTAAATTTAGTATATTATATAAATGATACTTAAATAAACGATAAATTAGTAATTAAATAACTTACGTTCTATATCGTCAAATATTGAATAATTTTAAATATTAAATTTAGTATATTTCAAAAATTAATGCATAAATAACAATAATAAGTTATTAAATAACTTACCAACTATATTATCAAACATTGAACAACGTTAATTATTATAAATTTATAAATTTAGAAAGTTGTAAATTATGCATAAATAAACGATAAATTATAATCAACTTACGGTCTGTATTAAACATTGAATATTGTTTGGTTATATTAAATATATTAAAGTTTATAAAGAAACGATAACTAGTAATCAAATAGCTTACGTTCTAATCATCAAGAATTTAAAATTACAATATAATAAATTTATTAGATTTTATAAAATTATCGATTGATAAATATAAAATTCAATTAGAATTATAAATTATAAATTGATAATATAAAATACAACAAGAAACAATTAATAAAAGTTAAATTACTATTTATTTAGTGATACTTTTATAAATGTTAAATTTTAAGCATATCATATTTGTCCTTACCTTTGGATGTAGAAGATTCGACAGATTCTAATTTTATTGAAGTATATTATTTATAAAATACTTAGTTCTAAGCTTGAGGTATGAACAAGTTTCTAATTTTCACGCATACATGATATAATAATTACCTTTAAATATAACATTATACAAATTAATAGGATACGCAAGAATCGAACTTTTTTGTTTATGTATATATAATATCACATTTACCTCTAGAAACTTCTTCAATACTCGAAACTGATTCTAATATTACGAATTATTTTAGCACGTCAATGTCGATCAAACTTTAATAAATCACTGTGGATGGAAATACCTTTTCCTAATTACAAAATATTAAATTTAAAATTTAATAATTAATGTTGCTGAAATGAGTCAAAAAGACTTTAATTACCCGCCATGAATTATAAAATTGGGAAAACAAAGACAGCGAATTCTAAAAAAAAATATTAATATATATCCAGATCGACATCCATTATTTTTGCCTTAAAAGGATGTAGATTGAAGCTAGTATAGAACGATCATTTACAAATCAAATTCCTGTCACTTACAGCCTTGTAATACTTTTGTAGCTATATTTGTATTAAGGAAATTAAGGAATGTCGCACCACTTGAAATTCATCTGAAAGAATCTTTAAATTCGTAATTACTACGGGAAGCAATAATTTCACTCCTCCATATGTTTGTGATAAACTAAATGCGGCCCGTAGAACACTAAACCTTCTCATTTTCGCAGTGCTGCGGATGCGCAATAATTTTTGCGGTTCACCTTGAATGTCTAAGACAACCGCAATATAAAATTAGATATCGTAAGGGAGATCGAGTTAAAGAACATTTATGATATATATAAATCCAATTACAGTCCCCGGCGAAAAGAATGGCGGAGACAGTTTTCGACGGTATGTATAAACTTTATTTTTAATGTTTATTTTTA